AGGGGCCAACATACAGTGACAACTCCCGCCATACCCAGAGCTTCATGCTCAGGAACAAAGAGGGGCATGTGGGAGAGGCCATTCCCTTTTATACCAATCAACCCACTGGAGGAATTTGTTTCTTTTTTCCCAGGCTCTAAATCCACAGGCTTGGAAATCTAGAAGAAATGCTTCTGTCAGGTAACATGGTGATGGTACTTTGAGCTTCAATTTCTATTAGCCAACTTTCCATTGGAAATTAGAGCAAAGGTTCCCATTATTGTAATCCACAGGGGTTAAGTTCTTGGAGCACATAGCAATGGGGAGAAAAGTGGTGCATTGATCCTGAGGAGGAAAGAGAAGATTTCACAGATTCCACCCTTTGTGCACCTAAGCATCCATACTTGTTCTTTGCCTGAAGAAGAAATCTGTGCCCCCACGGTTTTTCTTCCCAATCTCTGGATGAACATGTGAGGCTAATTTTCTATCAACCTTCTATGAATGGTAGCAGATCATGTTTTCAGGCAGTAAAAGTGCCAAACAACCTACTTGAAAAAAACTATGGTTGTGTGCAATTCTGCTTGAGATTATCTCATTCCCTCATCTGCATGTGGACAAAAGAGATGTAAAGAAACCAAGGGAATTAAGTACCGTGTTAATAGGAAGACTCAGTATTTGTGCCCCTCTCTGTCCTTCACTGGGGAAAAGACCCACTCAGACCAAGAAGCTACTCTGAGCTCTCCAAGCATGAACCTGGTCTCTAACTTGGCAGATGGAGTCAATATGAATCAGCAGAGAAAACAAGATTTTGTTTTGCAAAAGAAGCAAAGGTTGTTGGAGAAGAGGGGAGAAATAGTGGTCAAGACAGAGGCTATTACACACATTTCTAACCATCAGACTTCATATGGTGTGTCCAAGTGCTCAATAATATGCAAGTGTTTTAATATTAACATGTGAATTCTTTTAAACAATAAATTTTAAAATAAAAATCAAAAGCCATACAAGTTTTCTATGAGACAATAAGGGTATGGAAATGATATAGTAAAAACTCTCCTGATCCCAATGTTTAGAAGTGACCTCTCCAAATTGTGCCCTTTCCTCTACCCCAGATGGTGTCCCTGAACCCATTCTGGGGGTGGAGCATAAAGAACACCCAACACAAAACAGTCAGCATAGATTTCCAGGTGTTCCCAGAAATTTTTAGAATTGTGATTTTTAGAAGATGACTTTGATGTAACAGACATGACTTTTCCCACAGTACTAGTGTGTGTGATCAGTTGGAAATGGATAATATAACTATGAAAACTGATTTTTTGAGATGTTCTTAGACCTTTTTCAGCATTAATTTCATAATATAATGTTGCCTTTATTACTCAAAATCATTGTGTCTCATCCACCTCAGGAATGAAATAAATGAGTTGAGTCTAAATCATCAGGATATTTCAAGCATCCATCTATGCAAAATCCCCCACCCATGAGGTAATGTGAGCCCCTCTAGTAAAAATATCAATCTCACTTCAACAGACATTAATGGAGTCACCACTGTACTTGGTCCTGTACATTCTGACAAGTTGCTTTCAGTATTGTTAGAATCAGCCATTTAAATAACTATTTAATTAGCAAACATTTACTTGAGGACAGGAGGGCTGGTTGGCCTCTGGCTGGTTTGGCTTTACTGTGTGTGGCCAAAGTGTCTTTGGTGAAGTTCACCTTATCCACAAGAGAAGGTCAGGAGGAGGAAATGACTCCAAATATGACTTGTTGTTCCCTCTACATAGAGGTGGTTTGCTCCATGCACAAGGCCACTGTCCTCTAAGTCTGTAACTTAAAGGCATTATGGACCCATGTTGAAAACTGAGATTTTCATTGACTTGGGATGACTTCTCATGACAGTGTCTTCATATTTAGTTAATTTCTCTCTAACCAAACTATTAAGTCAGGTCTCAGAGTCACTCTTCTGTGGAGTCAGGCACTGAGAGGAAAGGGTTCATTTGTATTAGGAAATGGGGAAGACAAATGAAGGAACATCCTGAAAACAGAGTGAAGGTAAGTTTCTGCCTCTCCTCCCCCACCCCTTCCTGCACATGCTGGAAGTCTTAGCCTTGACCCAGCCTTCAGTAGAGGGTAGGGCTGTTGGGCTTTTTCACAAGCAGTCATGTGTTAAATATAAACCTCCTACTGCAAAAACAGAAGCTCAGGGAGACAGATGAGGAGTTAATGAATCTGAGGGACCAATTTCCTACAGGTGATTTGGACTTTCCTTTCAGTAATCATGTTTACCAATACTATTAAGTTGTACATAAAATTTGAATTTTCAATTGAAAATACAATTAATTCAGCTTAGACCTCCTCAGAGAGCTTTTTCTTCTTCCCCACATTTGGCAGCAGGGGTTTTCCTGCTTAGGGCTGGAGGATCAGTAATATCTTATTGGGATAATTTTTCTTTATTACAGAAATCAGTCCCATAATTGTGGCAGTTAAATCACCTCATTTTATAGAGGAGGTATTAGAGGTCCAGGGAATCTGGCCCCCAAATCCCATATGGAGTAACATTAAAGAAGTGGGGGGCTGAGGGCCCTGGGTCTCATCCAGGATTGTTGCATCAACCTGCCTGAGGATCATTTCCTACCCACAGGAGTTGAGTGCTAGGCATGCAAGTGCATGAGGGTGCTGAGAAGTTAGCCCTACTCTTTTCTGTGCTTCTGCTCACTGGCTCTCCCCTGCAAAGTAACTAGCAGTGGGTGGGGCAGCAACTTAGAAACTGAATCAGGAGTTGACTTCCAATCTCAGTTTTCAATCATTTTATGGTAAATCTCTCTCTGGAATGATTTACACAATATTTTATTCCTGCATTCTTCATTGGCCATGGCCAGAATCTTCAATTGTCAGTCTGTCACAGCTCTGTTCGGTAGAAATAAATATAAATCACAATTTGAGACACACTTTCTAACTGTTGCATTTTTTTAAAAAATAAAGAAACAAATAAAATGCTGGGATTATTTTTATTTATTGCGAGATATCCAGAATAGTGTTTCAGTGGTAATCAATATAGAAATTACTAAGATATTTTATCTTTTTTTATAGTCTCCAGAATATGACTTGTATGTTACATAAGCAACCCATCTCAGCTTGGACTAGTGGACTAGCTACATTTCAAGTGCTCAATAGCCACATGTGGCTATGGCTCATGGCTACTGCATTGAGCAGCAGAGATTCTGTTCCCAATGCTTCAGAAACACTGCCCTGAATAATCTTTAGAAAAGTCCCTCCAAGAGAAATAGCTTTTGCACAGCAAAGGAAACAGTTGACAAAACCGAAAGACAACCGACAGAATGGAAGAAGATATTTGCAAATGGTATATCAGATAAAGGGCTAGTATCCAAAATCTATAAAGAACTTATCAAAGTCAACACCCAAAGAACAAATAATCCATTCAAGAAATGGGCAGAAGACATGAACAGACATTTCTCGAAAGAAGACATCCAAATGACCAACAGACATGAAAAAGTGCTCAACATCGCTTGGCATCAGGGAAGTACAAATCAAAACCACAGTGTGATACCACTTCACACAGTCAGAATGGCTAAAATTCACAAGTCAGGAAACAACAGATGTTGGCGAGGATGCGGAGAAAGGGGAACCCTCCTACAC